CTATGTTTAAGAAATTTTTATATATATATATATATATATATAAAGAATAAGTTCGATTTTAATTATTCTAATGTCTTTTTTTTAATATCTTTAATTATTTTAATGTAGAATCATTCATTTCATTCAAGGTATAATAAAATAGTATAGAAAAATAAAAATAAAAAAGAAATAGTATTTTATTAGAGAAGAGATAAACAAGCACGCAATATTATCACCAAAACATAGCAAATAATAACAAATTATATATTATTCATCATAGGATGCACACATATATGTGTAATCTATCAAATAGACCTTCGAGTAGCGTAGTACGCTATAAACAGAACTATAAATAGAAAGCCAACCGGATTAATATTACGCGTATAATATTCGTAACAGACGGACGTGCGATATAATTTTCCGCGTAGAATCGCGATTCCTGATTAAAATGAAAAATTGTCACGCGCAATTTGCAACCTGTTAACAAAAAAACAAAACGGAAGAGAAATTTTTCGACGATATAAACGGGAAAAAAAGTTGTGATACTTTTTTATCGATCGTCAATGGTGGAAAGTGTGGAACACGTGTCAACTCGTTGGAATGCAAAATAATGATAACAATGGGGGAAAGCCTGTGCCCGGTAACGGCGAGTTAAATAATTGGAAGGCGGAATTCTACGAGCGAATCGGGTTCGTTAACGGTTGATGAAGAGTTATGAATATAGCCGGGATTAAACCGGCCACGTTGATCAAATTTCGCGGAATTTAGGGGACGACCCTCCTGTTTACGACACGCGTGCCCTGCCGTTTCCTACTTTTTCTCGATTTGCATTCAGATTAGCGTGGTTGAACGTCGCCTCGTGTAAAAATGATTTCGAGATGCTCCTGCGAAATTTTGCCCGAATTTTTTTGAACGTCGAGAGAAACAGGTAAATGGGCAATGTGAAATTTTAATATTTGTTAAAATTAATAACGTTTCGAAATTTTGTTTCAGAGGGCTTGAATCGCGAGGATCTTATTGTAAGAGATATATCTATTTTTGAGTTATTACATACAATATTTTTTAATCTATTTTTGATATAATAAAATAAATCGATAAATTGTACTTTGTTACTTGAAAAGAAGTCGAAATTTTGTAACATTTGTAAATCAAATTGTAAATCAAATTCATCGATTTAATGATTATTAATTATTGAAATGAAAACAAATAATCTTATTGCAAGATCCATATCGTTCTCATTATCGATTACTTGGATAATCGATGCAACGAAATGTACGAAGATCTTTGATTAATAAGAAATAGAAAAAATGCGAATTTATTTTACATTAATTGCGAAGAGTTCTTCGAGTTCTTGGAAAAAATTTCGCAAAGGAATTTCGTGATTATCAAAAACGCCCAACACGAAATTCCTCGTTTTAATAAAGCAAAGAAGAAAATGGAAACGAGTGTTAGATCTTGCCAGGATATACACAGGAAGAAGGAGGGGGGAAGGGGCAGTTGCTTTGCATTCTTTTATTATTCCATCCGACACGTTTCGTCAAGATAACTAAATTTCTCGAGTGGAAATACGTATCCTTTTCTTCGTTTTCCCTCGGTTGGAACGTCTCGTTTCTCCTTTTTCCTCTCTGTTTTTTCATACAAACGAAATCCGTGGAGAAGATGATATAAATAAGTTTTTAACTGTGGAATAATTTCGTGACAATCTAGTTATATGATCCTGTTTTATAATATTAAATATGATATTCAATTACAAAACGCAGATGATGATTGATTTTCTGTACAATTTTTTCATGAAATTAAATAAAGAAATAGGTATCAAATAAATATGAGATGAAAAACAAGAAATAATGTAAATAATGGGAAAAAATTGTGTAATTATTATAGAATATGAGAAGTTAGACAAAGTCTAATAAAAAGACTGTCTTATAAAAGCTGGTGACTTTATTTATAATGTTGGAGGTGTTTCAATATTTCCAGGGTTTCCTTAGAAGGTTTCTTTTCTGGGAATGAAAACCTTGGATCGGATTAGTCAAGTCTCTTCTCATAATCTATGCATTTCTTTGAATTAATATAGTATAATAAAATTATACGAAAAATGAAAAGATTGGAATATGATAAAACATCACATCTCACAATTTAGATACAAGTGTTGAATATATATATAAATATAATAAGTGTAATAATTAATTTTTAATTAATTAATACGAAATTGTTTGTAAAATAATTTGACGATAAACATCGTTGAAAGAAATAAGGAATATTTTCAGAAGAATATTTTTCACAAAAGAAACCGTATTTCTCACCGAGTCGAGAAACTTAATTCTTATAAAATCGACGCTTGCATAAAGTGCACTCGAATGGCTCGTTTGAATCGACAATTGCATTCCAAAGAAATGTGTCGAGTGGAAGAGAAGTAGAGAAATAAAGAAAGACGAGAATAAGAATTGTATTAATACTGAAAAAAAGCAACGTCAATAATTTCAATAAGAAAAAAAAGAAAAAAAGAAAATTAATATCATGATGGTCAACAACATCGAAACAAAGTTATAGCGGAAGCTAATAAAGTAAGAAACATGTTGTTTCCGGTTTGACTCTTAATTTAAAGGAAGAAAAAAATTGGGAGAACGAAGATTTAAGTAGAAAGATGAGAAAATATTGTGAGATAAATCGCGAGGGGATTTATGATTCTCTTTAATGATTATATAAGGGAAAAATTTTCTAATTATGCACGTTGCGATGGTTCAACTTGCGGCATGGAGAAAACTCGTGTTGAATAATGAAAAAATTTTATTTGAATTTAAATTAAAAAGTAACTAGTTGAAATAATTTAATTCGAATCGTTAGTTTGAATAGTATTATTTTAAAATATTAGAAAATATGTTATGTAGAATATTGATTCGTTTGAATTCAATTAATGATTTATTTAATCATTTTTTTTTATTTTAAATTTAATAAAAGAAATAGTTGAATAGAATTGAATAGAATAGAATAGGTTTTTTTTTATTTAAATGACATTATTTGAAAGTATATTTTAAATCAATTGAAATATTTTTTATACAATTATTTCAAATAATTATAAAATTATATTCTATTGTATAAATTAATATTTCAAGTGACATCATTTTAAACGTGTCAAATAAAATTTTATACGACGATATCAATATTAATTTGCTCATGTTTAATTCATTCGGGAGTATATTTTCAAATTTTCACATATTCATTTTTTCCAAATGAAATGATTTCGAAATATTATATTAATTAAATTATTATTCGTCGATTAAATTTTTCGAATATATTTATACTAGGAAAACTGCACACTTTTTTTAATAAAGATTACATGTATAAATTTTCGAATAAAAATTTTGATTTTACATAAAGTGTAAAAAAAAAAGAAAATACAAACTTGCCAATAGACAATGAAAATAAAAACCAAAAAATCCTATATTGTATCGCGATCGTTCCAAATTGAAATATCTCCGTTTGCATTTAAAAAAAAATTTCCGTCCTATTTTTCCTTTGTTAGTAGAAAAGATGAACATTGATCTTTATTCTCGTTTCTCGGATTTAAACGAAACGTCACGATTTTTCAATCGTTTGGAAAATATGAAATTAAATTCTCCGATGTCCCATTTGCTTCTTCAATTTTCGATTATATATACGTAGTATACAATTTTTTCAATTTATTCAATAAAGATGCTTTTGTATAGTATGAAGAATAATGGAAAAAAAATATTTACTCGCTACACCAGCGATTCTCTCAATATTTTCATTTTAAATGCGTAAATGCAAATTCAAAAATTCCAATATGTAACTCGTATATATTGGAATTTCAAATATAAAAGATTCACATTTTGATGATCATTCCTCGGAAATTTTTTGCATAATTGAAAAAAGGAATGATATCAATATCTTCATTGATTTTCGAAATTTATAATGCTTCGTTTAATTATTCAAAATTGAAGAATGCACAAAAAAAATTCTACAATTGTAGAATTTTAAAGAGAAAAAAATGAAAAATTCGTTTTTGCAACAAACAGAAAATTATAATAGATAATATAAAAAGAGGTAAAGAAACAGATCGGCTATTATTAACTT